CCCTTATCCAACACCATACAGCTTTCAAATAGCAAGCAGGGATTCAAACCCAGGTCTACAGACTCTAAATTTGGTGTTCTTTCTATGATCATGGAGGCACAAGGGAACTACTGTAGTTTATTGAGTGGGACGGTGATGGTAGGGAGGGAGATGATAAGACATGGTCAGATCCATGTTCAACAATATCTCAACAATATGCTGAACTACAAAAAGCCAGGCTTTTTGCAAGGCACTGAATCCACCTCCCTGCATGTTTTCTCCCTGCCATTGCTGTGTTAATACTGAGGTGACAATAAATAAGTACCCTTGTTCCTGTACCCAGGGCAATCTGTGCTACATTCTGTAGGCTCTTCTAAGGATGGGCATGTTGGGCATGAGCAATGCTGAGGGCCCCTTAGAGCAGCAAAGCAATTGCTGCATCTCCAGTTCTTCCTCTTCACTATTAAAATCTAAGGTTCTTTTAAAAGAACTCTCACATGCCACTTCACATATGCACACATAGACGTACACCTTTCTAAGTGTAACATGTGCCAATCACCATGCTAAAAGATGAAGAGGCAAATTAAGAAAAAGACAGCTGTGGCTGTCCAAGAAGTCACACTCTAATTGAGGGAGACAACGTATAGAAGACAGCTCAACTAGATGTCTGATCGAAAGACTTGAAAGTGGCACTGGTGCCAACAGGATCCAGGAGTCTGTGGTGCATATTGGAGACTCAGGCAGCAGTATCTTGGAATCTAGAGGGTGTATTCACAGGGAAGATGGTAAGGCCTGAAGGACTTTAGGATACAGTGGAGGTTATATGATAGGTATGGTGGTCCTCTATCTCACTAGATGGACTGTAATTGGAGATATTCACTTATTCATGTTGTGACAACAGCCATGTGACTCTTTGCACCTACCTCCTACTCCCAAGAGAGCCATACAGTCAGTGTCAGAGGAAAGAAAAGGACAATGTTAGAGGTCCTACCTGCTTGCCCAGTCTAATAGAATCTGGGAGGCTCAAGGAATTGGGGAAAGGATATCATCAAGTGCCTGCTATGTGCAATGTCCTGTGCTAGACATTAGTTTAGCAGGAGTTCTAACAGACATGGAAGGAGAGCAGGAAAGTAATGATGTAAGGTAGCTGAAGGATCTGTGATTTCTTCATCTTGAAAAACTTCCGCCGCTAATGCAGACTACAACTTGTCTGTGACTTGGGGAATTGCCTGAGGTACATGGAGGTTGAGTGATTTGTTCAGAGTAACCCATAAATGCTTCTGTTTATATATATTTTTTGCTTGCTTTAGGGAAAAGAAGCAGCAGAAATACTGCTGCTAGCATAGACTTAATGTACTTAACATTAAGCAGAGTGTACTTAACTCTTCCTGGAGGCCCAGAAGTTCTTGAGTCACAATGTTTGTCATATTTGAGAAAACCTTAAAAGACTAAGAAAAGGTGGCAGTGAACATGTTGACAGTGCTGATATAAAGTTCATTATTTTGGTTTTTAACTTGTATTCTTGATCCTTTCTTCTAACTCGAGAAAATACTTCCAAAACTCTCCTTTAATTTCTCTTATTTGCCACCAAGCAGGAAAATATTCTACACATCCATCTTGAGTGCTTCTGGGTAACTGTGACTCAGAGGTCAATAACTAGTTGAACTTACATAACCAGAAGGAATAAAATAATGTATTAAATAAAGAAGGTTCATCTAAATTCCCATGTCTAATTCTTCCATGATTTATGACTTTAAAAGGCTTTGGCATCCACGTCTGTCAGGACTCTTCTGTTAACCACAGACTGGGTGAAAACATGGAGGCTCTTAAGCTACCTCAGATTTGTGAGGGCAGTCTACTGGCCCAAGAAAGCTTGGCAGCTGCATCTGAATTCGCAAAGCATTCTCCTTGTTAAGGAAGCCACCACCTGTGCACCTTTCTTTCAAAGCAAACACAATCTTCCTAAGCGAAGGTCAAATCAGCATGACAAATATGGCGCTTCTTGGATCTCTATCACACCAGGCGGGAGCAACTTGCTCACTTGAAATATAGCTAATCCGTCCTGCAGAGGCCAGAATTAATAGCAGGCAAGCATGGCAGGAAGAAATTATAAATACATTTGAAATTTTTTACGGCTCGTTTTACCCACCAGGGGTTGCTGTGATTTTTAGCATAATTTTAAATGAGACAGCAGGTTAGAAAATGAAACATTAGCAAAGAGGGGTTAACAAAGGGATGACACAGGATTCCTTCTACCAACTAAGAGGAAGTAACAGCCACATAGAAACACATTCATGCACAAATGTGTGCACATATATACACACACACACCCCTATGAGAAATTATCTGTTTTTCCTCTTTAAATATTCAAAAATCTCAGTATTTAAGCCCTTAAATTTAAAGAAAAAATGCTTTCTAAAAATAAAAATAAAGGTAAGGAAGAAATCATGGAACTATAAAAGGGGTTAGAGCTAAAAGGAGGAGGAAGGAGAGAGATTGATTTGTACCATCAGAAAGGAGTGAAAAAATTACAAGTATCAAAGAAAGAAAGAACTAGACATATCCTTCACAGACTAGACTACACCAGATCACTGATGAAGTAGTAGAGAGGTTTTCCCTTCAAGTGGAGAAACTAGACACATCAGTTCCACCTTACAATTCTATTACCGACACTCTTTTCCCATTAACTGCTACCCAAATGCTCTCTCTGAGCATGAGTCACCACAAATCAGCCAGCCAGAGTATATGACAATGAAGGCATCTGTAGATTCTGGGCAAGTCACTTTGAGTAAAAGGGTTATTTGGAAACAGCTAACCTTTTAATTCATCTTAGGTGTTTTGCCAAGCAATCTTCCTCTAATGGAAACAGGGCTAGTTAAATATGTTGTGTGGTCCTCAACTGATTGCTTGAGTCAGTAAGAGGGGACTATCAAAGCAGGAAATGTACTAGCTCAGCATACTTCAGTTAGGTCCCAAGTCAGGAAAACGTCCAGGAAATGGAGGCTAACGGCTGGGGAATGATGGAAGGTCACATCAGAGAGACAGACTTTTTCTGGAACTTCCTGTATGACTGCTGACAGCATTCCCTTGGTCACAAAAATCAAGATTTTAGAAGAAGTTAGAAATAACAAGAACGTGAAGGATATTTAAGTGTCAGAAAATATGCAACACATGGATTGCAGATGAGAACATGGTACTAAGAGTAAACTCACAACAACAACCAAAAACCAAAACCAAACTGCTTTACAAAAGGCAGAGGGCAGTATCTGAGAGCAGGAAAACAATAAACACATTTGTTTTCTTCAAAAGAGATGGGACAAGACAAAAGGAGGAAGTGCTGTCCTTCCTTCATCCTGCCAGACTCTCACTGGAAAGTCAAGTGTGCACATCAGTCATGATAAGGGAGAAGAGACCAAAGTGATACCTTTTTTTCCCCTTCTTTTTAAAGGAAGCAGAAAGATGTATCACATAGCACCCTATTCATTATTATACTTTCAAATAAAACTGTGTATGTCTACCACAACAAAGTGTATTTTCCACTCAGAGGCATGCCAAACATGACCTATGGTTTTCATACATTAGCACTTAGAAAAGAGATTCTAGCTAGAAACAATAACAGAATTCCATATTTCCAGAAACAAAGGTTCTGGGTTCACAGTATCAAATGTTTGTAAATATCAAAGTCCTTGACTTTGTTATGGTTACAAAAATACTCATCACAAAATATAGTTAGGTAGTTATTGCTTTTCTGAATGATTAGGAATCAAATCTATTTGCTTTAGAGCAAAATGATAAAGAATAGTCACTGTACGTCCTCAATATTTTGTGGGAAACTACAAAAAAGGGATGGAAATGCCTTTTTTAATCAGTCTTATATTTGCATAATTAATTTTATATATTTCATGGTGAGCTAGGCCTATGATGTCACTTTTGAGAAAGAAATAAAGTTCCATCAAAATTCAAATAATGGATAAAATTATATATATACATATCATATATATGCTTATATATATACCTATAATACACATATATTTATCAATCTTGGATCATAATGTTGGAAGGCATCTTACAGGTAATCTCTCCCTCTCATTCTCTCTACAATACATCTGTTCAATAGCCATGTGGTCCCAGTTTGAACATTTTTAGGTGTGGGTAGCACAACATTGTTGAAAGGTCTATTTGTTAGAAAGTTTTCTAAGACTGAGTCAAAATCTGGCTAACTATAAATTCTACCCATTGGTCCTACTTCTGGCATCTGTATCAGTGAAAATTTTTAGATCTTTTTCCTCTTACCCATGACAAATTTTCAAATATTAAAAGACAATTATCAAGACATCTTCAGTTTCATCATATGACAGTTTCCAGAAACATACCTTACTATCATGCCATTGCTCATCTAGATATTCTCTAGTTTACCAGGAATCCTTATAAAGTTGAGTAAGTAGTTGGCCAATGTAGAGTTGGAAGAGATCATTTTCTTTCTCCCTTGATATGTACTCCATACTTTTGTTTATGCAACTAAAGTCAGCTTTAGTTCTTAACACTTGCCTCTCATACTACTGGCTCAAAATGAGTTTGTGGTCAGCTAAAAACATTAGGCCTCTCCATAAACTACTTTCAAGGATACTCCTCTGCCTAAGCATCTGATTATTTGAACCTTGAAGTGGGATTCTATCTTTAGCTCTGTTAAATTCTGGGTTGTTGGTTTTCACCCATTGTTGTAGTCTAATGACCTCTTTTGGTGTCACCCAACGCATTATTATCTAATTCTCCCCCATTTGTATCATTTGAAAATTTGGTAAGCAGGCCTCTTTTATCTAATTTTTTTTAAAGTTTCTGATAAATCTCATTGATAAGCTCAGAGACAAGGCTCTGTGACTAGTGCCCTTCATTACTGACTTCTTCTCCAAATTGTCATGATAGAAAACCTTGTGATCTTTTCTTTATTTCTCAATCAGTGGGAATTCAATAAAGTCTTTCAGATCTTTTCATGTGTCAGTAGACTGGAGTATGAATATTACCAGTTCTCGGGGCAGGAAGCTTTCTTCTTGACGAGCAATGACAAGAGATGCCGTCTCTCCTTGTTTAGTGCTTCTCAACATGGCTACAAGTTCTTCCTGAGTCCGACCAGTAATGTCTCTGCCATTCACCTAATGAATGAATGCAGTTAGATGAAGAGCAGCTATTAAAATACCTGCCACCATGGCCCTCTCTATTTTTTAAAGACAAGTTCACTCCTAGCCACTCCTTGAGAAAAAGCAGCAAAACACTGAGACATATTCGGCTTGCAAAGAAAGACAAATAAAAAATGAATCAGCTAGAAAAAGATTTCACAAAATGCTCACATGATTATCATGCATTGCTATGATATATGTCACTATAGAAAACAAATCAAACTACCATACTACCAAAGTATGGTCTTCCAACAAGTAGGAGCAGATTTCAAATACCCTACTGGCATTTTCTCATGTAATTATGGCAATGAGCAGCCATGAGTTACTATAATACTAGAAATGAATAGTCACCCATTTCCAGAAAGGATTTGTCCTACATGCTGGCCAGTAGGTAACCTACTCAGGTGATATTGTTTCCATAAAATCTAAATTACTTCTTTTAGGAGGAGGCCACCCTTACCTCCCTAATCTCTCATTCTTTTGACATCTTCTATTCACTTTTATCTTAATTCTGCACATTACAGTTATTTATTTATGTGTCTTTGTAATAATACTCTACTACTCAGTGAGTTACTTGAGGGCAGGGATTGGGTAATTCATTTTTTTACCTTGGTACCCTCAGTACCTAGCACAATGCTCCACACACAGACAAGGCTTAACAAGCATTTGCTTAACTGAACTAATAAATTTCATTGAACAGACTTAAGGCTCTTTCAGATTTAGAGTCAGTGGATCACCATTTGCTAATGGAGAAGCTAATCTGGCTCCTACCTGAAGCTTGCTATGTATCTTCTCTTCTGCTTTGTCATTACAGAGGAGGTCGCAGGAACACTTTTAATTTACCAAAACTGGCCAATTTTCAGCAAAGGGGGATTTTCTTTCTTAAAGGACATGATGACCAACTGGAGGTGGCTAGGAAAAAGTTTGGTAGCATCTGGCAGTTTTGTCCACAGTTTCCACAGCTATTCCATTTCCAGTCTAGATCAGACTAAGGGGATGTAACTCAGTTTTAGCTTATTGAGAGAAGCCAGGTGATTCTTGAGCTAAGGATTTGGATCACAGTGCCTTGAAGTTTGTGATATGACTGGATGCACCCTACAGTGAACCCAAGCCCCTGGTTTGGCCTCAGTTTGATTTATCCTAATTTTAAGTTGATATTAATCGGACAGAACATTGGAGAGGGGAAAAAAATGTTCTAGGACTATTTGTGTCATATATTTGCCTTTCAAAACTGGACTGACCAGTAGCTTCCTATTAAGCTTTTATTTTGTTTTGTTTTCAAATTTTATCTTTGAATTTATGTTACTGAAAGCATTTTCAAAGTCAAAGGACAAAGATTTCACTTCATTGAGGGGAGTATTCTAAGTTCTAACCTCCAAAATTCTATCCCCTGATTGTAGGCGGCCATCTTTCACTGCTGCTCCTTTTGGTAAAATATTTTTCACGAAAATCGGACCAGGACCATGTATTGAGGAATCCCTGGTAACCACAGTGAAGCCAAGTCCTTCAGGACCTAAAGCAAAAACATAGGAAAATAACAATTATAATAAGCTTGTACACAGGCATCGAACTCAGACTTGAAATTAAGTGCTTAAAACATCATTAATTCAAATAAACAAAGGAAGGTTCAGCTTGAAAATTCTGACTTATGGTCCCACAGGCACCACAAACTCATTATTTCCAAAACAGAACTCCTTATCCTTTCCTCCAAACTAGTTTACATATTTACATACACATACATATACACATGTGTATATGTATATATGCATAAACACACATATATATTCACACATAGACACATATGTGTATATATGTGTTTGTGCGTATACATACATATATATGTTTGTATATGTATATAGTATGTATGTAGTCCAATCACTCAGGTTTCAACCTCAATGTTATCCTTAACTCTTTACTCTTGATTGCCCTACATATCCAACTTACTTCCAAGTTTTGTCATTTTTATCTCCATGACACCTTTCCCATATGTTCCATTCTTTTCACTCAAACAACCTCTACAGTAGTACAGAGTCTTATCACCTTTCTCCTGTACTACTGTAATAGCCTCCTCCTTGGTCTCTACCTTATCTCTCCTCACTTCAATCTAACCTCCACACAGCTGCTTAAATAATTTTCCTAAAACACAGATTTGATTGTGTCAAAAGCAATGTCCTCCTCCCAACTTCTTATTAAATCTTTACTGACTCCCTAACACCTTTAGATTCAAATATAAATTTCTCTGGTATGTAAAGTTTGTCACAACCTGTTCTCTTCCCACCTTTCCAGACTTCTTTCTTCTCTCCTCAGACGGGCCTACTCACTGTTCTGTATATAGGAAGCTACATCTTCTATTTCTATAGCTTTGTACTATTTCAATCAACCAATTAGTCAATGAGCACTTTTAATTGCCTACCATGTGCCAGGCACTGTGCTAAGCACTGAGGATACAAGAATAGTCAAAAGGCAGTCCCTAACATCAAAGAGCTTATAATCTAATGGGCAGACAAAATGCAAACAGATATTTACAAAGCAAGCTACGTGCAGGATAAATAAATTTTTAAAAAAGGGAATTATACTGGAATTAAGAGGAGTTGGAGAAGGCCTTCTGTAGAAGATGGGATTTTAACTGGGGCTTAAAGGAAGCCAGAGAGGTCAGCAGTCAGAGCAAAAGAGGGAAAACATTCCAGGCATGAAGGACAGCTAGAGCAAATGCTAGGAGCAGAGATATGGAGGGTCCTGTTTGTGGAAGAACCAGAAGGCCAGTGGCACAGGATCAAGATTACATGTTGGAGAGCAAGGTGTAAGAAGACTGGAAAGGTAGGAGAGGGGCTAGCTTGTGATGGGCTTTGAATGCCCAACAGAGCCTTCTGTAGTTGTTAATGGAGGCAATAGGAAGCCACTGAAGTATATTGAGTGACACGGTCAGACTTGTGCCTCAGGAAAATGACTTTATTAGCTGAATGAAAGATGGATTGGAGTGGTGAGAGACTTGAAGCTAGCAGAACCCCTACCCACTATCGCAACAGTCCAGGCATGAGTGGAGGAGTACCTGTACCAGAATGGAGATAGTGTCAGAGGAAGAAAGGTGATTCATTGTTGCAAAGGTGAAATCAACAGGATTTAGCAACAGCTTGGACATGGGGGATGAGAGATAATGAGGAGTCCAGGATGACTTCTAGGATGTAAGCCTAAGGGACTGAGAGGATGATACTGTCATCCACAGTAATATGGAAAGTGGGAGGGGTGGAGGGTTTAGACAGTTAATAAGTTATGTTTTGGACATATTAAGGTTATCATGTCTATGGATTTCCACTTTTAGATGTCTGAAAGGCAGTTGGAGATGCAACATTGTAGGGCAACAGAGGGCCTGGGGCAGGAAAAGTAGATTTGAGAATCATCAGCATAGAGATGGTAATTAAAGCCATGGGAGTTGATGAGAACACCAAGTGAAGTAGTATAGAAAGAAAAGAGGGCTCAGGAGAGAAGCTGGAGGAACCACTATATTTAGAGGCACGACCTGGAGGCAGATCCAGAAAAGGAGATAGAGAATAGATAGGTAGGAGGAAAACCAGGAGAGAGAGATGTCCAAAAACTGAGAGAGAAGAGAGTGATCCACAGCGTAGAAGACTACAGAGAGGTCATGGAGAATGAGGATTGAGAAAAGAACATTGCATTTGGCAACTAAGAGATCATTAGTAACTTTGGAGAGAGTAGTTTTGGTGGAATGATAAGGTCAGAAGTCAGACTGTAAGTGGTTAAGTTTATGTAAGAGGAATGAAATTGGAGGCACTTTCAGAAGATGGCCTTTTTGGAAGGGTTTAGCTATAATGGGCAGGAGAGACGCATGACAGGAGTTAAGTGGGATGGCAGGATCAGATGAGGGTTTTTTCCAGGATGGTGAAGACATGGGCATGTTTTGTAGGTTTTCCCTCCTCATCTCTATCTCTTGAAATCCATGACTGTCAATGAGACTCAGTTTAGGCACCGCATGTAGTCTCTCTCTCTCCCCCCAAGCTGTTCATACTCTCTTTCCCAAAACTACCTTATGCTCTTTGTTTAGATGCTCTATATACAATTATATATGCACTTGTCATCTCTCTGTTCAAATGTCAGCTCTTTGATAACAGGAACTGTGCTACTTTTGTCTTCATATTTCCAATATTTACAATAGTGTCTGACAGATGAGATATTTACTGATTGATTTTCAAAATATTATTCAGGTTTTATCACTTTCAGACAAGTGGAGTAACCTACATAATAAAATTACTCTAGGATGGTACCTGGACCCAAGCAGTTGCCTTATAATGATGAGACTAAAGTCTGATTTCTCAGCTCACAGAGTTTTTGTTTATCGAGAGCCAATTGGCTCTCTGCTATCCAAATTTCAATGAGAATAATTTGTACAAGAAGGCCAATTCATGCATTTATCTAAAGGAGATATACAACTACCAGTTCTACTGGAAAAGCTGTGTCAATGTCTTCTCTTCCCAGGAAATAAGGTTAAGATTATTTGGTGAATCTACTAAATCAAAATTAAGGAAATCAGATCATGTTGAAGGATAATTTCACCAAACTAAAGTACCCTAAATGTCATTGATTTTCTCTCCTCTTTTCCCTCTCCTTATCTGCCAACCCCTTCCCCTCTTCCTTCTCTCCCCTTTTCTCTTTGTCTGTCCCCTTCCCTTTTCCTCTCTCTCTTAACTAGAATCAAATATTTATAGCAGTCAACTTATTAGGGCACCTTTTGTGCAATATGATCCTGGAGACAGTCTGATAAAATTCTCTTTCTACATCACTATTTTTTCTTTTTAGTATTACTACAGTGGGACAGATTGTTGGATGCATAATTAATCAGGAGAACTAAATCTCAATTTTGGATTGGATATTTATTAGCTGTATAGTCACACATATAGTCATACAGTTATACCAGCAAGCCACACAACTGCTCTGAGCCTCAATTTCCTCATCCCTAAAACTGGCATAAGAATTACTTGCAAGTTCTACCTTGCTGAGTTATAAATGAAGCCTTCCTAAACCTTAAAATGCTATGCAAATGAGAGCAATTATTATATTAAATGAGGACCTAGGCAAGTTCTATTTTCCATATCTTCTTAGCTTTAACATTCCTTTTTCTTCCTCCTTTCCTTCTCAGAAAATCTAATGTTTATGTCATCCCCACAGTACCCAGCTGGTCTTAGTGCTTATGTTAATTTCTATTAGAGACAATCATTTCCTGCCTGGCTTCTGGCTTAGAGTCACATTTTCTCCTTTCTAGTGCCCATTCTGGGATCCATCATATTTTGGTCTATAATGGTCATCGTTCACCTCCCACCACTAGAATTAGGCTAATGAAGTGCGGCCTGGTAGAGGAAGCTGTATAATTTATAATTAGCATATCGATTGTTTACATGTAAATGAGTGCTTCTGAAGTACTTCTGGATGATTTGAAGAGTTTATTTCCTTAAGTAGTTCAAACCTTTTCCCAGAAATTTTATTTACACTATTAATTTGCATGATGAAGTATTCATACTGCAAAGGTAAATTTCAGGCCAGTTCTTGTATGAATTATCAGAAATTCCAGATTAGCAGGCTCTTAATTAATACGATTTTAATGTATATAAAACTATACCAACAATAGACACACATGCCTTCTGCTCACCTGTCCTTAATTCAGCATATATTCTGTGGTTTTGATGATCTAGCCATGGAAAACGCAAAGAGGCAGCTAACACTAATTAGGGTTTTCAACATTAAATTATTAGAAGTAATTTCTTTATAAAGTAAAGCCTTGAACATGTGGTTCTTACTACAGAATAGACAGGCTTCAGTTACAAGAAAAATATTCATAATAAACATTGCTTCTGAATGTCAACATCTTCCGGGGTTGAATAGTCTTATTAGAGAAGGAATGTGACAGAAAAGGCCATGGTGGGGGTACACTGAAGTCTTCTGAGTGGTTCAGCCACTATAGTTTTTGTTTATCCTATTTTGACTTTTCATTCACTTCTATCTAATTTATTTTCTTACCATGAAATAAAATAGAAACAAGAGACCTGGGTTTATTTATATGCTGACTTTGCTCCTTAATGGGTCAGACTTAGCAGTACAATCTCATCTGAAACTCAGGTTTACCAGGTGTAAAATGGAAATAATAATAATACTTGTATTACTGACCTCACAGTGATGTAAGGAGAATGTTTTGTAACCCATATAGTATATATGAGCTATTATTATTCCAGGTCTGTGTTGTAAGTAAAATACATGGCGACAAATTTCCCAGTGAAAAGAAGAAACTAATGAAGATCTACCACTAATCTGTGACTTATTGTCCTAAAGAGTTGTCTTGGGCACTGAGCACTTGGTAAAGTGACTTGTCCAGGATCAAACAGCCCTTATGTGTCAGTGTTGAAAATTATTATTATGGCATATTATACAATTATTAAAAGAATATAATGAGAATACACAGATGACCTAAGAAAAAGGATATGTTATTCCCATAGAGAAAGTACAGGATAATAAATGAAAGGCTTATATGCCCCTCCATTGGCATCCACTTGAGGTCAACAGTTCCTAGATTATTAGGTGGGCCCCTGTGGTGGATTTATAGGACAACAATGGGGAATAAGAAATAATAAATTTGTACAGAAGTAAATACAAAATAGAGATATAAATACATTCAAAATAAGATCTAAAAAACAAATACAAAGTGATTTCTGGGGCATTTGAGAGCTATAATAATATCTAAGGGAATGAAAAAAGGCTGCTGTTTTGAAGGTAGCATTTAAGCCGAGTCCTGAGTTCAAATGTGACCTCAGACACTTATTAGCTGTGTGACCCTAGACAAGTCATTTAACCCTGTTTGCCTCAGTTTCCTCATCTGTAGAATGAGCTGGAGAAGGAAACGGCAAACCAGTCCAGTATGTTTGTCAAGAAAACTCCAAAAGGGGTCACAAAGTATCAGATATGATTGAAAAACAAATGAAATTTAAGCCAAGTGCATCTTGTAGGGGGTTAGGGACTCCAAGAGATGACAGTGATGAGGGAAAGCATTCCAGGTATGAAGGTAGGAGACAGAGGCTTTACTCAGAGAAGAGCAAGACCATTCTGGATGGAGTATAGTACGGAAGGTAATAAAATGTAATAAGTAGAAGCTTTCGCAGATGCTTTTACACGTGAAATGAATCCTAAAGGCAATTGGAAACCATGGAAGTTGACTAGGTAGGGAAGTGCCAATGGTCAGAATTGTGGTTTAAGATGATCGTTTGGCATCAGCAAGTGGAATAAGGGCTGGATTCGTGTCTACCATAGAAATAACTGAAATGAGTTAAAAATTAAGAGTAGCGATATGAAACTCAAATAGAAACGGGCCCACTAACCCAGACATAAGGATCCTGGTGGGCTGCATATAGACTTAGAAAATCACTTATTAATGTCATCTATGTTTTCCTGTATTTTTATTTCATTAAACATTTCCCAATTACATTTTAATCTGGTTTGGACAACAAGAATGTTGTGGGCCATGTGTGACCTTGACAATTCTGAATTAGAGAAAAAGAGATTTTTAGAGATTTAATTGAAATAGGAGGCAAGGATGAGAGAATGAGTTGGAACAAATGTACAGTGTGTGGACCAAAATGACATTTTAAAAGCCCAGTGTTGTGTGAAAAATATTTGCAAGACTAAATGAATAAAATTAATGATCGTTACTATCTAGGTTATTCTAAGGGATAACTACTTTCGGTGAGTAACTGGTATTCAAACTTTGAAAGAGGAGCAGAGGACATTTAGAGTAGTAAAATGCTAATGCCTCAGAATCAAATAGTACCTAGCAAATGGATAGCCACCTCCAAAGGATGTGAAGCCAATTTTTAGAAAATCTCACTAATATTTATGTGCAATTGGAAAAACAGAAAATGTAAATTAAAAAAATATACAACTAATGGTAACTAATTGCTTTTTAGATGGTGCTTTAAAGTATACCAAATGCTTTATGCACATGATCTTGTTGGAGCCTCACAATGACCCTGTGAGGCAGGTGCTACAGGAATTATCTCCATTTTACACATGGTGAAACTGAGGCTCTGAAACTAGAAGCCCACAGATATTGAACTGGAAGGGACCTCAGCAGTACTAGCGCAACCATTCCATTTTACAAAGGAAGAGACTGAGATCTAAAGACATTAAGAGACTGACTTGCACAGTATAAACCAATTCTTCTGATTCCAAATCCAACTTTCTTTCCATTGTACATCAAAGCATGTCAAGTGACTTGCTGAAGAACAAACAAGTAATTAAGTACAAAAATGTGAGATTTAAACCCCAATCTGTCTTCCTGAGTTCAGGTATATTCATTATGGCATGATTAGTAATCATAAATTTGTAAGATCCATTAATGTTTTGACACGATAAGTGCTCTGTTTTTTTGCTGTTGTTCAGTCATTTCAGTCACGTCAGATTCTTCGTAACCCTATTTGAGGTTTTCTTGGCAAAGATACTGGAGTAGTTTATTATTTCCTTCTCCAGCTCATTTTACAGTTGAGGAAACTGAGGCAAGGAGGGTTCAGTGACTTGCCCAGGATCACACAGCTAGTAAGTGTCTGAGGCTATATTTGAAGTCAAGAAGCTGAGTTTTGTCCACTGCCCCATTTAGCTGTTGTTCCTCCTTTGTTCTTGAAAAGGATCACTGACATCAGGAAATCACTTGCAAGTGATTTGGGTTTAAGTGAGGCAGGGCTGTGCAAAATCATCAGCCTCACTCTCTTCTCTAGTCACTGGAGTCCAGTGGCAATGTTAAGGTTTAGAGATTTAGGGGCGCTGGGACCACAAAATCATTGACACACAGGTTTGCCTGAATGAATTTGACCCAAGCCTTCTTTCAGCCAGATGAGGTTTTTAAAGATCTGCCATATTGCCCAGACTCTTAAGGAATCTAAGCATTTGTATCGCTAATGCAAGTGGGCCAGATCTTAAGAATCTGAGCCCTTGGCTAGACTCTTAAAGAATCTCAGCATTTTAATGGAGACAAGATGGGCCTTGTATACAGAAATCCCTTATATATAAGGGATCTAAGAGTGGCCAAATTGGGGTGACTGGAGGAGGGGCCTGGAAGAAGGGGTATCTTGATGAGAGTGGACAGTAAGCTGGGGTAACCAAAGGAGAGTCTAGGGAGGATCTTGATGGGAGTGACTGGGAGGTAGAATGGGGTCCAGATAGGATCAAGGGTGGGAAGCAGCCTGAGGCCATCCAGAGGTAATAGACAATGGAGGGCTTGGCTAAGTGAAAGGTAATAGAGAATTGGTAAATTGAGTGTAGGTGATATTGAAAGGTCAGTTGGTAGGATTATAGCCTCAGTCAAACAGCTAGAGACTTCCTAGATCAAACAGGAGAGTTCAAGGAGAGTCTGTAGACAAATGGGACCCAAATTCTTTTTGGGGAAGGGCAAAGATCTTGGCTTAGGCCTGTACCCTGTCAGCAAGACATAGTTCAGAATGACCGGCGATGGCCCCGGTGCAGTTGGGAACCTTGGCCTTTTAATGGAAGGTCTTTCCCAGGTCTCAGATTATCTGAGGCAACACCCAATCAATGATTAAAGCTTGGTAAGAACTGAGGCAAAAGATGGCCCAGTCTGCCTTCATAAAAGAATCAATCTGGGAGGGAAAGACCCTCAGTGTTTCTGGCCAGAACAGAAATATTTGCTCACTCTAAGCCAGGAGAAAGTGAGGCTTGGGCTGGGACCTATTATTGGTCTATCAGTGAGAGGCAGAGTGATTTGGGTTTAAAAGCAGAGTAAAGTAGTTCCATTTGAATCCCAATGGGCTTTATCAAAGCCTGGTTTTTCAGAGCTTTATTTCAAGAAATGATAAATGAAAACTTCATGAGACAAAAGAGTTAATTGTCCTGGTGTTTTGGTTAAAAAAAAGATAGAATAAATAAGTAGGGAAGAAAAAAAAATCTAGCCCCCAAACTGAAGATACTTTGTGAAGTATAAATGATCAAAATTTATATTCTTTTGGACAAAGCACCCAGATGTAGGGGTATGACTCCTCCATGGACAGAGGTAGAAGAGGAGGAAGAGGAGCTGCATCTAGCTGCTGTGCTTCTGGAAAACTGAAACCACACCAATGACTTACATGGTGACATATAATTATTTTCTCTGTTTCCCAAGATGCATATATTATTTCCCTATTTTAAAAAACCCCAACAACCTAATCATAGGAACAATGTGTAGAAAATTACTTAAGCACATACTTGACTCACTCTATCCTTTGATTCAAAGTAACGTAAAGGGTATGAATTAACTTAGCCTCAACATGTTTATATTAAATGTCACAAGCAGACATAATACCTGTGATTCAATAATTACCTTTCTTAAGGTCGATCTTAATTTTCTTTGCATTTTTCTTGCTTCCAAATCCTATTAGGGGAGAGAGTGATGGTGATGATGGCTTTCTTCCCAGTCTTGGTACTCTGGGGCTCCTGTTCTGTTGGCTAGAAATCTGTGTGTCTGTCTCCACACTGCTTGCTCCTGTCAGGTTGACTGTTTTTGATGCTGGCTTTCCTTGGATTGGAGGGGATGCCTTTGTTCTCAAAACAACATCACTGTTACCAAAAATTCCAAGAGGCGCGATGACTGACTTTTCGTATTGTTCACGGTTGTTTGGTGGAAGCACTTGTAAGAGAACATTTTGGGATTTCATTGCTTGACGGAAGACATCTTGAGCCCTTGAAAGAAAATCATTTATATTTCAATAAACAGTAAGCTACTTCTAAAGCTATAATCATTAGCTTAAATCATAAGGGAATAATTTATTTACTTGTGATAATTGTCACAATATCCTAAGAACTAGGGAATCTCAAGCAGAGGGTTTGAACTTTTTTGTGTCATGGACCTCTTGGGAAGTCTGGTGAAGTTTATGTATCGCATCTCCCAAGAATGTTTTGTAATGCATAACATAAAATATATAGAATTACAAAAGAAATATATTATATTTTAAAAAGTTATCAAAATATTAAGAAAACAATTTTGTGGTCCACAGGTTAAAACCTAATCTAGAAGTTTTTCAACTCATTAGACATCACAGCAACCTTTGATTTCCATGTAAATTCTCCTTGAGTTAATAAAAAAGCTCTCATATGTTTATGCTATTTATGAATTAAGATAATGAATGAGAACAGAAGTAATATATTTGCACTTATGTGTGCATTTGAGTATCTTGATACCTAAAATGGATTTTTTATCTTATTAGTGTGGATAGTCCTTTTAACAACCTTCCATACCATGATTCTTATCCCCGTACTTCCATAAATTTCTTCAGAGAGGATCCACACAATGTACTGTTCTTTTTGTTTATTTGTTTTCTTAACCTTCTCTAAGGTACTGAGGTAGGACTTGGGTTGTATACATACTTACTCTCATATTAAAATCATCTGTGTGTGTTTATTATCTAAAAATGGCCGTTGGGTTAATGACCCATATTCTAAGCAGTTCTGAACATGTCATCTTCAGGGGCTGCTAGTCTTTATTAGAGAGTGTTAGCATATTAAAAAGCTTATTATAATATAAAATAAATGCACATAAGTCATCAGCATTTCTATATATTACTAACAAAGCCCAGCAGCAAAGAGACAGAAAGATAAATTCCATTTAAAGTTACAGTAGACATTATAAAATATTTAGAAGTCTACCTGACAAAACAAACCCAGGAATTAGATGAACACAATTACAAAACACTTTCTAACAAATAAAATCAGATCTAAATAATTGGAAAAACATCAGTTGCTCATGGGTAGGCGGAGCTAATATAATAAAAATGACAGTCCTACCTAAACTAATTTACTTATTCAGTGCCATACCAATAAAACTACCAAAAATTATTTTATAGAGCTAGAAAAAATAATAACAAGATTCATCTGGAAGAACAAAAGGTCCAGAATATCAAGGGAACTAATGAAAAGAAATATTAGGGAAGGTGGCCTAGCTGTTCCAGATCTTAAATTGTATTATAAAACAGCAATCATCAAAACTACTTAATACTGGCTAAGAAACAGAGTGGTGGGCTGAGCAGCAGGCACTATATGTCAGGTCGCAAGGGTGATAAGAAGAAGCCTCTGAAGCAGCCCAAGAAGCAAACCAAGGAAATAGATGAGGAAGATATAGCTTTCAAACAAAAACAAAAAGAACAGAAAGAACTGGAAGAGTTAAAAGCAAAAGCTTCTGGGAAGGGACCTCTTGCTAGTGGTGGGATTAAGAAATCTGTTCCTGTGTAGATAAGATGGTGATTCCAGTTGGTTTCCTTCTTCTTTTGTAACATCTGCATTTCCTACTTCAACATCTGTAGCAGCCTGTAGCCAAGATTAAGTGCTATCTTAACGAGTCTATTGTATATTGTAATACACTTTTTTTAAAATAAAAAAAAAGAAATAGAGGGGTGGATCAGTGGAGTAGGTTAGGTACACAAGACACCCATAATCAATGACTAATATAATCTACTGTTTGATAAACCCTAAGACTCCAGATTCTGGGATAAGAACTCACTATTTGACAAAACTGTTGGGAAAACTGGAAAGGGTATGGCAGAAACTAGGTCTAGAAGAACATCTTACACCATATACCAAAAGAAAGTCAAAATAGGTACACAATTTAGATATAAAGGCTGGTACTGCAAGCAAACTGTGAAAGCAAGGAATAGTTTATCTGTCAGATTTATGGAGAACAGAAGAATTTATGACCAAACAAGAGATAAAGAATATTATGAAATGCAAAATGGATAATTTTGATTACATTAAATTGGAAAGGTTTTGCACAAACAAAGCCAATGTAACAAAATTAGGAGGGAAGCAGAAAACTCGCAAGGCATTTTTACAAGCAGTGTTTCTGATAAGGACCTCATTTCTAAAATATATAGAGAACTAAGTCAAATTTATAAGAATACAAGCCATTCCCCAATTCATAAAAGGTCAAAGGATATGAACAGGTAGTTTTCAGATGAAGAAATTAAAGCCATCTATAGTCATATGAAAAAATGCTCTAAATCACTATGGATTAGAGAAATGCAAATCAAAACAACTCTGAGGTACCACATCACACCTATCAGATTGCCCAACATGACAAAACAGGAAAATGATAAATGTTGGAGAAGATATGGGAAAATTGGAACACTAATGTATTGCTGGTAGAGTTGTGAACTAATCTATTCTGGAGAGCAATTTGGAACTATGCCCAAAGGGCTATAAAATGTGCATAGCCTTTGACCCAGCAATAACACTTCTAGGGCTGTATCCCAAAGAGATCATAAAAATGGGAAAAGGACCCACATGTACAAAAATAATTGAGGGAATGCCCATCAATTGGGGAATGGCTGAACAAGTTGTGGTATATAAATATAATGGAATACTATTGTGCTATAAGAAATGATGAGGAAGTGGACTTCAGAAAAACCTGGAAAGACCTGTATGGACCAATGCTAAGTGAAGTGAGCAGAACCACCAGAATGTTACACAGAGTAACAGCTACATCGTATAATGGCAAATTTTGATAGACTTAGCTCTTCTCAGCAACACAAGGATCTAAGATATCTCCAAAAGTCTCATGATGGAAAATGCTATTCACATCCAGAGAAAGATCTATAGAGTCTGAATGCAGATCGAAGCATATACTATTTGCTTTTTCTTTCCTTCTGTTTTGTTGTGTTTCTTCTTTCTTGCAGTTCTTCCTATTGGTTCTAATTCTTCTTTACAACATAACTAATGTGAAAATATGTTTAATAGGAATGTATATGTAGAGCCTATATCAAACTGCATGCCATCTTAGGGAAGGAGGTGGAAGGGAGGGGGAGAAAATTTGAAACTCAAAAGCTTATGGAAGTGAATGTTGAAAACCAAAAATAAATAAATAAATTTTTTAAAAAGGCTTGTTATAAACTTATTTGCTTCCAGAAGTCTGTATGTGTTGTCTTTAGCATAATTTTGGTATCCTAACATCCCTTAATGAAGAAAAGTCCCGAATATGCTTTTATTTATCATCTGATCCAATCTAAACCATTAAAGTACTCCTTTACAGGAGTTTAACACAGCTGGAACCTAGGTATTTGCTACTTTTACAGTAGGATATCCTCAATAAAATTTGCACATGAAGACAAAAAGATAAATGTTTGGCACATATGTTAATTTTAAATTATTTATTTTAGCTCTATTAGTCATCGAGTCCTGACAAACTCCTATCACACATTTTCAGACTAATGTACATTGCTGACATCTCATAAGTTAATTAACAAGCTGAATCAACAGTCTGTGAAAATAGTCATTAAACACTAGCATAAGTGACCTACGTTCCAAGAAAAACAAACACCATCCATTGATACCAAAGCATGACAACCACTCAGACAGCAAGGTTTGCTATAGTCTATGGCTTAACATATACAGGGTTGCCAGTGACACATGCTGGGCCACCCCTGAGTGTACTCAAACATAGAATGCATTTCTAAATGGATGTACTGGGGATCATTTGTAGGAAACTGACCAGAAGTTCTACCTACAATTTTGCCCATAATGAGCTCGATAACTATTATAAGCATTCTGGGGATCAATAAAGTAAATACAACAATAAAAAAGTGCTTACTGAGCAAAGGTTTTGTCTATGAGATCCACATTGTTAATTTTTATGATGCATTCATTTTCATGAAATAGTCCATCCCGTTTAGACCTGCTGTTTTCCTCAATACCTCGGATAAAGAGCCCTAAAATCCTGAAATACAAAGAATAAGGGCAAAATAAAATCAGAGTAATCATGTGTAATCCATGTACAATTATTCCAAAATAAGTGCCCATCCAACGTAATGGTGTCTCTTACCTACTTTACTACTGTTTGAATCATAAGTTAAGCGGGAGAGTTTACAACAATAACACATGTCTTCAGTGAAACAAGTATTCCAAGGATAACACACATTATACTAACCAAGAGAGAATTAATCTGTGACCTCATTTCTAATGTTTCCAGTAACTCAGCAAAGGCTATTAGGTTTTAGTGGAATTGCAAAGACAAGACTCACTTGTTTGGGCTTCCTGTAATGAGTGAATCAGAGAACACAATCAAACAAGCAACTCTTCACTGGGAAAAAAAGAGGATGGGTTGGAGCTTGAATTTTTTAAAACAAATCACATTTCCTGAATTTCCTTTCAGACCCTGTACTAAAAACCACACACACACACACACACACACACACACACACACACACACACACACACACTCAAATGAGTTGGCTGAAATTTATCTAGTTTTATTTTAATTAAATGTAGATCAGATGTTCCATCACTGGCATGGGGGTAACTGAGTTTTCAAAGTCTATATCAGTGAAGCCCAAGTCCTAGTAGGTTCTGTCAAGTGGAAAAGGCTACAGCTATGGGCTCAGTAACCCAGTGTCTGCTTTCCAGGACCCAGACCAAGTGCAGAGCTGCCATATGAGAAAGATGGTTGCTATAAGATCAGAGTCTATAGGGTGGATGAAATTAAGTAAGTGGTACTACTTCTCTGCTGTCAATGACTGGAAGCAAACGTCATCTGCTGTCAGTCCTTAAACCAATGAAAAATCATTCGTTTTATTATACTTTACAAATATTACCTTTGACATCTATTCAGTTTATAGTTAAGCATAGTTCTGTCAATAAATTCTTCTTGGAAAGTTATGTGTTTCAGGTCAGTAAAGTACGTACTGCATAAAAAAAGTGCAATGTATTTACCCAGTGGGTTACAGTGTCTTTTGACCCAGACAAAAGTTAAAGCACTGACTTAGTTTTAAATTCTCTCTTTTTGGATATCAACTGTATATTTATTGGGCACATACTAAGTAATACAAGTTGGAAAGAACAAAGCCAACCCATATGAAACAACTGCTATATTGTTTTTTACAGTCTATAAGTTATATAGGAATTCAGAGAAGGATGGATCAATGAAAGTTTGGAGTCCTTATGAAAGGCTTCAGAGGAAAGGTGACAATTAAGCTGTACACTGAAAAATCCATACATTTTGATAGGTAACACAGAGTAAGGGGAAAAAAGAGGAAGATACAGGTGAGGGAAAAAACATGACCAAAGGTACAGAGATACAAATGATCATGGCAGCATAGTATAATGGAAGCAGTGTTGAGTTTGATGTCAAATGATGTAGGTTCAAATTTCCTCTCAGTTGTGTGACCTGTAACAAGTTACTTAATCAATTTTCTCATCTATAAATTAAGACGGGTGGTTCAAAAGACCTCTGAGGACCCTTCCAGCTCCAAATCTATGATATGATTATCCTATTCAATTAAACTATATGGTTGTAGGATAATAAGGAGACCAGGCTGACGAGTGGGCACGGGTGGGTGTTGGGCAAAAATAAGACGAAGGATTTAAAGAGTAGGGTAGAGCCAGATTAAAATAAGGCACAGGAAATACAATTAATTTAATAGAAAAAAATAAATACTTGAATATTTTTGAGTAAGGAAATGATACTATAAATCCAGTACCCTAGTAAATGTCTTTTGCCTTTCTTTGTATCCCAAGCAAGTAGCATGGCACCTGGTACACAGTAGGTACTTAATAAATGCTTGTTGACTGATTAGCCTGGCTTTCATATATATGCAGGCTTTAAGAAAAGACTGGAGTCAAAGAGAACAATCAGGACTGAGAAGTTGAAATAGGAACGTCAAAGACAATGAATAGGAGAATCCAAGTGTGTTACTTTTCACTTCTATTTCCAACTATTGAATTTTATTAAGAAGAATGAAAAAAAGGTAATAAAATTATACATATTTCCATTAGTTCTTTTTTTGGGAATGCTCTTCTCCCAATGTGACAGGATCCTAATTGTAATTCAAAGTAAGGGAAGTATTTTCATTTGCCCTATCCAGATCTATAAGAGGAATTGTAAAGCATATATATTATAAATGCAGCTTTATTTATATATATGTGTGTGTGCGTGTGTGTGTGTGTGTGTGTGTGTGTGTGAGAGAGAGAGAGAGAAAGAGAGAGAGAGAGAGAGAGAGAGAGAGAGAGAGAGAGAGAGAGAAGAAGAAAGAGAGAGAGTTTGTAATTTGCTTTTATGCAATGTGCCTGGTGGGATATTACAATGGTTCCTTTTTTCTAAATAAAAAATATAAATAAGATGAGTGCTTTTTATGAGAGAATAATATGGTCACAAATGGAAAAAGGGCAGCCTAAAATGTAAGTACAGGTGAAAATGTAGAGCTCCTGTTTGGATTAGCCCCCAAATATTGAGCCACTGCCTCAAGGGGTTAGTAGTTTAATTAGTATAGACATTCTGTACTCTTGAATGGACAGAGCTCATGTAGTGATATTTACTGGAATGTCTCCACTGCAAAAATGCTCAATGAATACTACATAATGATGAAGTGGTATTACAGACAATAACAGAGCCTAGTCTATGGAAAACTCAAGGTTGCTAGTTTACAAAGAGAGATAAAAGTTGAAAAAATGTAAAGTTCTATAAAGTTAGTGAATCCACCCAGAATATTCACTGGAATAGAAAATTGGGGTTTGATTTGCTATTTGAAGAAAGATCCACGATTCAAGCGAGATTTAAGGTGCTTATGGGGCACAGTGAAAGTAGTCCATATATAATTTCCAAAACAGAATACAGTATTAAAAGAATACAATATTAACTATAATGATAAATAGTATAATGTTTAATATATAACACAAATGACACATTATGAACCTGCCATTAAATATTAATGTTTACTAAAAATAAAGACCAGAATATGAATTATTAATTGGAAAGAATTTTATTTTTTTTCAAAATCTGAGTTCATGAGAACAAATCTATTATGGGACTCACATGTATTTCTAAACCACAATTCATATAAGCAAGTATTTTGTTAACAGCCATCCGAAATCTTCTTTTAACTTAATTCTGCCCAACATCAATCATGTAAAATTACTTCTAGAACTTACTTTGATATTTTTGTAGCTGAATTATTTTTTTTCAGGCCGTAGGGTTAAGCATTAGTTAATAGATCATAGCTTGTGATATGTAATGGGGACCCTACCAACCTGAAAAACCTAACTTACTATGAAGAATTTATTGACAGAACATATCTATATATGAAATGCATTTATGTAAAAGTTAATTTTATTTAATTTAAACCTGATGGATATTATTGGCTTGGGGACCAACATTAGATGACTTCTGCTCTCTCTATTCTGTGGCAAGGACAGAGAACTCCTGAGAATTTCATTCAGTCAAAATGGTGAAAATACTTTGGTAACTGCAGGTGTACTCAAGGAGATAATCCCCTCACTGTGGATGGGTGTAGCTAAGTCATTCAGAACCAAGACTGAAGCATGGTGATTTATCGGCTAATTATAATGTCAAATCACATAAATTATCAGCAAGTTCAATTTAATTAAACAAATACCTAAGGGTCCATAATTTGTAAAATATTTAGTACAAATATGAAAGATGGCATCAGCTTACAGACAGATCACAGCTCAAGAACAATTCACATCAACTAATATTCACCATAGACTATTGTAAGCCCAAAGTATGTGATATGTTTCTATTTGTGTTTTTCTTCTCTTTATTTCTAGTCTACTTTCTTTCATCTTTTCACGTGTCTCTTACTAAGCCCTTGATCCTTTCTGACTTCTCTTTGTGTGTCTTTCTGTCTCCTCCCAAATATTCCTTCCTTCCTTTCTTCCTTCCTTACTTCTTTCCTTCCTTCCTTCCCTCCCTCCTTCCTTCTCCTCTCTCCCTGTATCTTTTATTACTATATCTCTTCTCTTTTTTCCTACTTTCTAACTTGCTCTACTTGAAATTATATATATATATATATATATATATATATATAATATATATATATATATATATATATATACACACATACACAGACACCTGTTATAATTATTTGTTGATAATTTAATTGTACAAATTTTCTCTTTTGTGTTCTTGAGTTTAAAAGGTAAGTTACATATATTATATCAAGAGAAGAAAAAAAGAGGCCTGAGTTGCCTTTAATTTGTGAGTAGGCCTCATTTTAAGGGGTTTTTTTTCCTTCTAAAGGTCAGTGATCCTGGGAAGTAAAAACAGAAAAAACAACAAAAAAATTCACCACCTTGTCATATGCTATGTCTCACTAGATCTTAACTATTAAATCACAAACTAGTAAAGAAGACTCCTATTTATAATTAGGTATTCCATCTTAGGTTAAAGTGTCTCATAATAGGTGTAGTTGCACTGTATTAAAGATTAGAAATTGCGAGGCAAGAAAAATAAAGATAATATATGGATTAAATTGTAGTCATAGTCAAAGTGTTAAATATAAATTCAATTTGAATTAATAATGCAAACCAATAAAATGGAAGGAAATTAAGAGCTAATTCTTTCATTCTGACCTTAATTCACCCTACTATGCCCAAACAGTGAAACCATATGGTATTATAAAGTCAGCCACTTGTTTGACATCTTTCTGTGTATTGAGACACATGGGTTGAGTTAAGTATGCTTTCTCAGGCTGAACTCATTATTTCTTAACTTTTATTGGTTCATGTCTCCACTTCTACATTATTTTAATGTGTTTTCTAATTAAATTTCCTTTCTAGAATACTAGTGGATAGTCTAAAGAAATGGTAGAATGATTCCACTGAGTTACTGAATGGAAAGGTGCCCATTCTCTGCTTATCAGCTTATGAAACCATATTTGTGGTACAGTTATTTTGAAAGTTTCGGCAAGATATCATTTCTATTCTACAAAATCAAGAATGCAAAGAGTAAACGATAGGAGCCAGATATTTGTAATCTCAGCCTTTTATTTTATTTTCCACATTTAAACAACAGCATATACTGTGGGAGGTTGATTTACTGTTCTATAGTATAAACTTCTCTATGCAACTGTTGAAAATGAAGCATGTTCACTATCACATGGCACATTTCCTCAGGTTTGCCTAGAATGGAAAGTTCATATGCTATATTCAAGTTTTATTAAGTTAAAAGGACTAGTAATTTAACCACACTGGTAGTCCCAAAGCTGTATCAGTATACTTCTGCCAAAAACCATTCCAATTTCTCAAGACAACTTGATAAATATTCATCCTGTCTGTCAAAAAAACCAGCTTGTTCAGTGCCATAACCCATAATGTTTATAAACAAGGTTATTAACATGCACAGGGAATGAGCCAATGAGCTCCACCAGCTTTTCAGTTTATTTCTTTTTAAGAGGCATTCATCTCCATGAGAAGTTGGCATCACATGGATTTGCAAAAAGGTGATGACATGACAATTATAGGTAGCAGATGGCTACCTGCAATACCCAATGCCAACCCAAATATCAGTGCTAAATCTGGACTTGCCTAACATGGCAGGCTGTATTGAGTAAATATTCATGGGCAGTAAAGCAATGTTAAGTAACCTTACGACAAGATTGTTGCAGTGGAAAGAACTCTGGACTGGCATTCAGTAGACCTGAGTTCTAGTCCTGACTCACAAAGTTATAATATCTATAACTCTGCTGCTGTGTGGTTTTTCAGTCATGTCCAATTCTTCAGGAGCTCTTTTGGGTTTTTTTTGACAAAGATGACAAAGATACTCTGGTTTGCCATTTGTTTCTCCAGCTCATTTTACAGATGAGGAAACAAGGCAAATAGGATTAAGTGTCTTGCCTAGGGTCACACATCTAGTAAGTGTCTGAGGCTGGATTTGGACTCCCAAAGATGAGTCTTACTGACTTCAGGTCTGTTGAGCTTATATACTGCACCACCTAGCTGCTCTTTCTATAACTCTAGAATGGAACTTAAAGATGATTAATCTAACCACTTAAATTTACATAGGAAGAATATGAGGCTCAGATATACTTAGTGACTTGCCCAGGGTCATACTGGTAGGTAAGTACTACAGCCAGGATTCAAACCCAGGACTTCAGATTCTAAATGTCATGTTTGTTCTATTATAACTGCCCTAATTAGTTGTGTGACCTTGGGGCAAACCATCTCAAGTCTCTAGTTTTAGTTTCTTGTAGAGATGAGGGAGTTCTATTAGATATTTAAAGTCCCTTCTAGCCTGAAAAATTATGTGATTCAATGACTCACTTTTCATAGCTTAAGAAAGTTAACCAATTAAAGAATCTCGTGCAATGATTAGAATGTAAAATGGATTTCAAAAAAAATGGACTTTTCATGTCAATTTCAGTTTTAGGGCTTGAGGCAATCTTGTAATAGGGAAAAGTGATGTCATTTCTGCATCCAGTAATTTTGAGGCTCTTAGTGGGTTTTTTCATATTATCTCTTAAGGCACAAATTTCAATTTTTACCCAGGGAAAACTTTAACATCTATGTTAGGTGTATAAGAAAACATCCTGGAAATGTTGACATAATATTAATGACCATACATCAATATAGATTTAGCAACAAAATGGGCTTTTGGCACCTCAAATGCCTATAACACATCATTTTCAACTGAATTAATTTTATTTCAAAAGAGAAATTAATGTTATGGCTGTATTTTGCCATGGTAGTTAAAAATCTACCAAACATGAAAATAAAACTGCATCTCCACTTTGCCTATAGCAGGGACTACAACAATTCCTACCAGAAATTTTGAATAAAACCTCTTTCTATTATTCCCATTTTCTAAATATTAGAGGTTACTTGACCACATAAACTATGATCATAGAGGATGTATGAAGTTAGGTTTTTACTTTGCATTCATTTATTGAAGTGTGTTTGGGTGAATAATGACATTCTGATGGGATGTTTGTCTAGTAATACAAGGAAATGGTAAAATATCCACTAGGGAATCTTCTTATTTACCAAGTCTGCAGCAGGAATGCTTCAAAGAAGATGTTCATAATTAATTTTAAGTGCAGATACCATGATTGATTTTTTTTTAACCCACATCACATAAGTGGACTGTTTTTATTTTGTTTCTAACATGTAAGTAGCATAACAAAGTGGTCAACAAAGGAATATGTTGAGGCCTATTACTGAGTAATAGAGATGCACACTTAACCCTCTTCTGGAAAATGTTTCAGAAAATGAACTCAATCGAGCTTTTTTCATTAACATGGGTTTCTGAAATAAGGAAAACATCTTACCTTCCACTCAGTGATGAAAAGAAGGGCACTACATGTATACCCAGAGGGCCACCTTCCCCAGAAATCTCCACTGTTCTTGTCATATCACTGAGATAAAGAAAGCAAGAGCACAGATGAGTCTCTGTTCAAGAATAGATGAAGTACATAAAGAAAAGAAAAGAAAAGAAATACCTCCCATTCACACAGCCAAAGAAAAATAAAAATAATACATGACTTGTTGGGGGCATGCAGAAGAGGTTGCCACTAAATATGTTTAAAGGAATATCTAATTCTTGATTTCCCCCCCATCCAGGAGAACAACTGAAAATGACTACCCATCAAAATAACATCCTTCTTCCCTCAATCTGCATAAATCAACATGTTTAAAAGTGTTCAAGTGATGCTAGAACAATACAAACATACATTTGAAAATATATATATTTCATGAAATACATGTAAACCATAATGCATCTGATTAATTTTAAAAATCAAGGAGATTTTTTCTACTCAAAATAGAAGACAAAGAAGGGCAAAAGGTATATTATTTAGCAAAGAATGCATAGGATCATTTTTTTTAAATTAGTAGTCTTAGTAATATGTATTAGTTATCTTTAAAACATTCTAGATAAAGAATTAAATTTGTTTTTTAAAGAAAGCACCAAGAACCCAAGGAAGATATCCCCCAAATTATCCTTTTTTTCTTTTTAAAGACAGAAAAAAGAAAACAGAAGTGACATAAAAATATATTCTTGAAAGAAATAGAAATCTTGACCTACCTAACCCATAACAGATTATGAAAAGGAGATGCTAGCACTATCAATAGAGAGTGTGCATAACTGAAATATCTATATACATCAGTTACTCCTTCCTAAGCAAAGGTAACATTTCCTGAGTAATAAAGAGCTTAACTAACAGACTTCTACCAGCATAATAATAATGGACAATTAATGCTACTTCAGCCATACAGATAACAAGTATAAATGCCACAGGAAAAGTGTCAAAGCATAAGAAGATATTTACAACATACAAATAGCTAGCAGGACACTACTGTATCCTATTTACATGAAAATGACTTTAACCCCAAACTACAATTGCTATAAATGCTTGTCTCATCCAAATTGAAAATGGTAGAATTCGGGTTTTTTTACTGGAAAGTTAGCAAACTGTATTAAAAGGGTATTTTGTGTGGAGCCCTTAATGAATTCACTAGGCATGAAATATTCTCTAAATTACCAGTAATCTAATATGACTATATTAGCTATATTCTGTCAAGCGGAATAAGTTTATTTTTCTTGTTATTTTTCTATGTAAACCTTTTAAAATCAAGCTTTTCAAAAGCAGTATGCCAATTCCCATTGTGTGTAGAGAGAGGATGAAATTCCAAAGCTAGTAATAAATTGCAAATGAATAGTACCACACAGATACTGTCATTATTTGAAACTTGTTCAGTCAAGTAGCCTACGTCAGAAGCCTCGAATTAGAGAGCTGAGACATATCTTCACATGGATAAAATGATATTTCAGGGTATATAAAACTCGATCATTCTTGCTATATAATGTTGAAAATGGTAATTGTTAGGTGTTCATATAATATCAAGAGAAAGGAAATATTAAAAATCATAAAGCATCACTTGGAAATGTCTCTATTCCCCTGATTTTACAGCTATCTAGAGAATGGAATGTGACTTTTGATAAGCCAGTAATCAATTCTTTTAATAGAATCACAGATTCATAATTCAAGATGGTACCTTAGAGACAACATCTAGTCCTGGGGGCTGCAGAGAAGACCTGGGAGGTAGCTTAGCTATTACAAGGGTATAGTATGCAGTCATGAATTTTCTCAAATGATAGATAATAATATTCTAGGTACTATGATGTAGTAATGTACAACTATCTTTGTTTCATTATAAAGAGTTCTTCATACTCAAAAAGTTTGGGAACCACTGACCCTGGCAATTTCTCAGCATGAAATGCAGAGTTTGAGGATAATGACAGTGTACCCCATTTTTAATGATCACCAGGATTAGGAGCCTGCTTTATCCTGATAAACCATATTTATGCCTAACAACTCAGAGTTTCTTATCTTTAGTATTTCTAACATTTCATGTATATGTATATGTAGAAAAAGAATAAAAAATAACATTTCACATAATCTACTATTAAATTCCAGATATTATAGATTATATCATACATACATATCATATATCCAGAAATACTATATATAGTATACCCTAAATTGTGTTAAGGAAATGTATTTCTTCCTAATAATTTGTACAAGTGGCAAAGAATTTTTAAAAAATGCTAATCTTCTATAGTATAAAATAAACAAAACAAAACCCTCTATAAGATACCCTTGTGTCATATTAATACTTAGTTCTTATCCTTTTTTTATCATATATTCTTTATATTAACTTAATATAAAAAGAAATAATCTTTGACTATCCCTGATTAGAATGAAGGCCACACTTGGCAACCATATTGTAGATAGCCCAGAAAATGTCAACATCTCTCTGAAGGAGTAGACAATTATTATGAATGTTCCCAGAGGAACTCTAAATATGGATTTTGACCATATGAACACTGAGATCAGTCTTTTTTGATAGAAGGGAAAAAACTCTGGGTTGACAGGTGGTAGGGAATTTGAAAGGAAATTTGGATGGTTTGCACAATATGTAACTGTGTAAAACATGGTCAAAGACATATATCCTAGTTTTGTGCTCACTTTCCCATCAATGTTATCATTCAAGAGAATGGCTGACTGGTCAAAATTAGAAACTTTCACATGAAAAATATATTTTCAAGGTATGCATAAGACCACTGGCTGTTTGTCCTTTAACTCCAGTTCCAAAAGATGAGTTAATTCTTTAAGGAAAGGATATTAAACTTATGACTTTAATTCTTCAGGACTATAAAACTTTGTTTCAGGGACAACTTTGGGGTTACTAAAAGCACTGAGTAATTTTCAAAAGACAGTCCAGGTAGTTCTCCTCCTCCTGGTTAGTTCTAAGAGAAGCTCATTGCTCATCTGTTACATATGCCAAAGGCAGAGGTACTCACAGCCCAGGTCTTTGGAGTGTTCATCCAACTGTATATCACAGTCTGGAGAAAAGGCATTCTTTGTTTGGTTGCTCCTTCTTAGGTGGTTAGTTAAATTGAACTCTCTTTAAGTGATTGCAGATTTCAATTAAGAGACTCTGAAATGTCAGCTGCAAACAGGAGGATTGGAAAAACCACATAATCTATAGGGAACCCCTTTTCCTTTAGACTGTGTTGGACATTCTCCATGACAACACCAAATACCTTTGGTTAACACAGATGTCCCCATTTTATGTTTTGCTTGATGTTAATAATCAGAAGAGTCAGAGTTATCTCTGTTACTATGTTTTTCAAGAAATTTTGTGTGATCTAGGCATAGACATAGGGGATATATCGTAGGAGGAGAGTCAGCAAGGATTTTTGATCTACTGAAATCCTGCCTCTTTCAACAATGTGTTCATTATTATCCTATCAATCAACGGATATCAGTTCAAAGCAAAGGAATTTAGTGAAACAGCTAATAAAAAGTTTTGCAATAGAACATTTACCTCATAAATATAGGACATGTTCTCCCACAAACATACACACCATCAGTGGGAAGAATTGTCAAGTAATAGAGATCACACATGAGGGGCCCACACTTGGGGTAATGTAAGGGGGAACAATTCCCACCTTTGATTTCTAGAGGACCCCTATGTTTTCTGGTGATATAATACTGCTCACACTTCAGGCCTCTTCATCAGTGGGCATAACATGCCTGATGGCCATGTTATACTATTTGGCTTAATGTATCTATTGCTTGCTAAGCTTGTTATTTCTAAATGTGCTGGTTTTTTAGTCTTCTCTGATTCCCATATCTTCGGGGCCACCTTGGTTATCTTGGCTTCACTCTTGTAGGGGATAATGGTTAAATATGTCTCAGTGCTATGGGCAAGCTGATGGCTATTTGGTCTTTGTTATCATACTTATATGATAAAAGCCAATCAGAGAATCTCTAGGAATAATCTAGGTCATTCCTAATCTCCTATTTCTGCAATGGATATGCAAGTCTTCTTACTATCATCGAGTTTAGGGTCAGATAATCTGATAAACCCTGAAGATCCTCTGTGGCTAAGGTGCAATTAAACTGAAAAAGAAAAAAGAAAGGCTAAAGAGGCAAAGCCAGCAATTTTCACTGATCTAGAATGAATTCTTGTCTCTTTTCTAAATAGCTATTAATAGCAAAGACTAATAGATTGGTGGTATATTGTGGCTAGCCAAAACTTCAGTATCTTGAATTCTAACTTGATATCGATTTTGATTTTTGCTCTATATATCGTTCAGTCTTAACACACAAGTTATGTGGAAACAATTTCCACATCAACAACCAACATTTTCTGCCTGTCACAATGTAATCAATTTAATTTTTGGTGATTTTCTTTGGTAATAGTCTAACACTCTTCTTGAAGAATGAATTCTAGCTACACACAGGGAAGCATCCTTATATTCTACAAGTCTTTCACATCTCTTTATTTCTTATATTTGCTGTGCTTTCCTATGCTCACCTTTTCATTAAAGTGTCAGAGTATTACACACACACACACACACACACACACACACACACACACACACACACAGACTTAACTTGGAGGGTCTTGTTGAATTCTTTGTAGAACTGCTCTAATCTTAATCCTCTGCAACAAATGTTGGTATATAAAGTGTAATCAATAGTAAGCAAATGCTTTCCACAGAAGCACCTCGAAACGAGATAACCAAGTGTTTTGGGAAAGGGCTGCATTCAAATTCATAAAATGACACATTGCTTCCAGCTCCTTTTTCTCTCTAAGAACTTGTGAGCCATCCTTCCCCATTTAGATGCAACTTCCTTTTGTCTTCTGTCTCATAACTAACAAAAATGTCCAAATTCATATAATACTCCCAGCAGTAACTTGCTCAAGTATCTTACATTTATAGTACCAACAGGAAAGCTAGTGTGAATAGATGGTCTAAAAACTATAATGATTTTTAGTGCTCGCTCTCTGTGTCTCTCTCTGTCTCTGTCTCTGTCTTTCTCACAATGATACAGGAGACTGA